CCCGGCTCTGCTTGGTGGTTCTCCTCTCCGTGGGCTGCGCTGCCTTCTACCTGCTGACCCCGCCAGCTGCAGAGCTGCCTGTTTGCTCACTGTCCCCTCAGTGGGATACAGGGTCCTTGAGAGGGGAGCTCGTGGAGTTCCTGGTACCCTCACCACACGGAGGGACAGAATTTGAGTGAGCTGCCTCTTCTAGTCACTTGTCAGCAAGGAGCTGGCCTCTTCCTTCCCACTCTGCCGCCTTCGCTCTGGCCTCAGCGCCTCTCCCTGCTGGCCGTCCCCGCCCCAGCCGCCGGGCCCACCTCACCTGCACTGCCCAGGGTGCAGGCGGCCTTCAGGAGTGAGCAGTTCCCAGAGGTCTCTGCTTTCCTGAAAGAGCCAAACTTATAAGTATTGTCATGAAGATTAAGTGAAATAATACAGGGAAAGGACCTGAAATAGTGCTGGCACACAGTAAGGTAAAGAACTATTGCCTAGTGACCATTATTGTTTCTGTGCCTTCGAGGGTGCTGAGAAGCTCCTTTGTACGGCATCAGGCTTTTTGAAAATCTGACCCCAGCTTTTAAAAAAATTTTTGAAGCTTCGTTAGCCTCGGCATTTGCTTCTGTTCGTGTCCCCCTTTCCACCCCCTGAACTGCTTGTTGGGTCAACCACTCACCTCCTGCCTATGTCGGTCTGTAGATTTTTCTCAGAATTAAAACCCGACACAAGCACGGTGCTGTGCTGTGTGTACTTCATGTCACCCGGGAGCCTGGAACAGGAAAGCGGCTGCCCTGCTGGCGCCTGGCCAAGGGTGGCCTTCCCGGCATCCCGGGCTGCTCTGCTCGCTCTCCCCGCGGGCGTTCCCCCTCTCCCGATGGGTCGGTTGTCTCCTGGTTTCCATCTCACCCTCTCCCTCTTCTGTTGTTTCCTTGTTGTTATAGCTCCTCAAGTAATTGATTTTTTTATATAGGGTGAATGGAAGGCAAATTTTCTGAGTTCTTAAGTTTTGTTAAAAAATGTCCCTTTTTTGCCTTCTTGTTTGGTAGTGATGGAATTGAATAGTATTGCAGTTCATTCCAGTCTATGCTCAGGGTTGCATTTGTTCACTCGCTGGCCAGTGTGGCTTCCTCTGGGGTTGTAGAGTTGTGTTCCCCGGGTGTCCTCCCTTGAATGGGGTTCTGGTTGGTGGGTGTGCCCGTGGGGTTCCAGCAGCCACACAGAATCGCTGGACTTTGCCAGCACAGCATTTTAATTCCTTCAGCCGGGCTCTGCCTCCCCCTCTCCCTCTGGGGTCCCAGAATCTCTCTGGGCAGACCCACTTTCAGCCTGAAGGAGAAGCCCTTGGCCAGCCATTCTGACCGGGACTGGGAGGGGCTCCCATGACCTAGATTTGTGGGAGCCCCAGCTTATCTTGGGGTCCTAGCCGATGTTCCTTTAACTCCAACCCCAGCAGCTTTCTCTCTTCCAACTTATCCTCACATTTCTGACCCATGAGGGGCTCCTGTGTTCTTTTCCATGTTAGGGTTTCATTCTTTCAGTTGTGGTTCTGTTTTAATTTTTAGTATTTTCAGTAGAAATCTGGGAGAGAAGGTAGGCAGACCTGCATGCTCCACCTGCTATCCTCACCTGGAAACTAGGAACATTTCTAAACCTTTAAGTTTGGAAGGAAGGTATTAAAAACGTGCAACTTTTAAGAAACATCACTTTTTGACCGCCTTGTGTCTTTTTTAAATTTTTTATTTATTTATTTTTAAATATATCTTTATTGATTTCAGAGAGAGGAAAGGAGAGGGGGAGAGAGAGAGAGAGAGAAACATCAATGTTGAGAGAGTGAGTGATCAAGCCCGCAACCCGGGCATGTGCCCTGACCGGGAATCAAACCCCGATCGCCTGGATCCTAGGTCGAGGCTCAACCGCTGAGCCATGCCCAGCCGGGCTTGTGTCTTTTTTTTAAATTAGTGAGTATCCCTAAAATAAAATGTAGCAAAGTTGGACACAGTGGGTTGTAGAACTTTTACAACACTGTTGCTGATGTTTGTGGGAACAATGATTGTGCCCTGGGCCCCAAACATCTACACCGTGCCTGTGCCCTGTGTGCAGGCTCAGGGACCCAGAGCACATGGCTTAGCTTCCCACATTGCCTGGCATTGTAACCCTCCGCTGAAGTATTCCTTGTGGCTGGCTTGCTTTTCATGAATTTCATTTCATTCTTCTGCTTAGAGCCGTTGCAGGAGTGCAGAGCATGGTTATGTTCATTTCAAGTTCAGAGTCAATGCTAAAAGAGCAACTGGTTTTCTTGCCGAAGTTTACCCTGTTTTTGAACATATTTGTTTATATCTCTCTTGACACTTTGACCAAATATTAGTGCCTTGTTCCCAATACAGTGTCAGTGTTTGGGGTGAGGTAAGGTGTACAACATATTATTCCACTGAGAAGAAAAAAACCCAACCAACCAAGAGCAGTTAAAAAAAATCATTAACCGTTAACAATATTTGTAACTTGTGAATGTGTATAGGTAGCAAAATTGAAAAGAGTTGTTAAAAACCTAATTTAGCACATTCCTGCAGTGTGTTTCACATTCTTTTTTTTTTTCCTTAATATATCTTTATTGATTTCAGAGAGAGGAGAGGAGAGAGAGAGAGAGAGAAACATCAACGATGAGAGAGTCATTGATCGGCTGCCTCCTGCACGCCTCCTACTGGGAATCGAGCCCACAACCCGGGCATGTGCCCTGACCGGGAATCGAACCCCGATCACCTGGATCCTAGGTTGGTGCTCAACCGCTGAGCCACGCCTGGCCGGGCATATTTCACATTCTCGTAACTTGTCCCAAACCCCTCTCCCCGCCCCCTTCCATTGCTGTGACCATGACGGCTCAGTTCCCTCCGGAATACTGTTCCCTGAGTGTTTCCTTCAGGGGAAGCAGGACGCTCCAGTCAGGCTTCACACGAAGCCTTATTTTCCGATTCTTCCAGTACCATTGGCCCTGCTTAGGTGTTTTAAATAGTATTCATGATAAGCCAGTCTAAGTTGGTAAACAAAACAGTGGTCTAAAAAATACTGCAAATACTATTGTTGACTTTTATTTTATCAGGTGTATATGGTTTCTGAATCGTAACAATTATATTACCCCCTTTCTTCACTCAGAAATGGATTATAGGAGTCTTTGTGACAAGCAGCCAATAGGAAGACTTCTCTTCCGACAATTCTGTGATACCAAGCACCACCTGAAGAGGTGCATTGAGTTCCTGGACGCGGTGGTGAGCGGTTTATCTCAGAGTCGACCCAGCCGGTCTGGTGCTCAGACGAGATCTGAGTTACTTAGACATGGGCAGTGAGGGGAGAGTGGGTAAACCAGTGGTCTTGATGTTACACCATCCTTAGTACGGAAAACCCTGTAGCGTAAAGTGTACACTCACTGCACCTCGAGTGCTGGAGAGTCACATGTACTTACTGAATAACTTTGAAACTTGCTGCTTTAATTTGTGAGAAGGTTGAACAGCTAATGAAGACTGTGTGCTTATTGGCAGCCCCCTGAGAAGTAGCCTTCCCGCCTTCATGTGGCAGATGCTGTCTGCTTCAGACACTGGCCCAGAGCATATGGGAGGGATAAAGTCAGGGTAAGAAGGACGGTCACATTGAATGGAATTTACTCTGACTTATAAAACATTCCAACTTCCTCATGTGTCCTGTTTGAGATTTACTGTGATTTCCTTATAGGTAAGGAAATCCTGTTTCTAAATCTTTAGAGATAGCTCATCTAACAGAAAAGCTCTCTTACCAAGCTTAGGACGCTTCCTCTGCCCACCCGGCCTGTCCGAGGCGTATCAGCAAATATGTATCGACTACTTGCTGTATGTAAAGTAAGCAGGGTGCTAGTCACTACTAAGGGAAGCACAGTGCCCTGAAGCCAGACGTGATGCTGGCTATGACCCAGCCGTCGGACTGGTGGCCGTGGCCCCCGTGACGGGTACAGAATGAAGTGCCAGGTCGGGTTTCCCCACAAGGACTTTCTCTTTGAGTACTTTTAATGTGTTCAGTAGATCAACTTCCTTTGGTCTTCACTTCCTCACTTCTCTCTTCAACTCCATCTGGCTTTTAGCTTCACTACTCTGCTAAATTCCCCTACTTGCAAAACCCAGGGCTTCACTGAGACCTGCTCTTGCTTGTGTCCGTGTCTGTTAACATTGTTGAGGAGCCTCTTCTGGAAATTCTCTTATCTAAGCTTTTGTGGTCTCTCCTCTGGTTCTCTTTCTCTCACCTTCTCCATTTCTTCCTCCCTGCGTATCCTTTGTAAATGTTTAGATAGTGACCAGGTTCTGCTTGTGATGCTTCCCCTGTTCTGGCCTGTGTGGTGGTGTCCCCTCTTGTGGTCTCACTTGACACCTGTGTGTGGACGACTGACTCCCTGGGAACGCTGCACTCAGGTGTCCAAGTGTCTCTTGGGCATTTCTGACGTGTTGTTGCCTAGAACAGCCCGAGCTGTTTATTTTATCTGGCCACATTTGATGGCTGAAAGTATAAGAGAGCATCGTGTTGCTCAGCTACATTACTAACCCTTAAAAAATGGACTTTCCCTCATTGCCACCAGGGAGACACTGGAGCAGCGGAGCTGCTATCTGGTTTGTAGGCTGTCAAGTCAGTTCTGTAAGAGGATTTGAAACATCGTGAAGTCAGTGAAGAAGCTTAACTAACATTTTTTCCTGTCCTCTCTGCAACCAGGCAAAGTATGAAGCCGCTGCTGACGAGGACCGAAGAGAGAGCGGACTGTTAATCTTAGACACATTCTTCATCCACGAGGTGCGCGTTCTTCAGATACGAAGATTTGTAAATACTTAAGTAATTGGAGTGCAGAGCCGTTTTTACTTAATTGGGTAAATATAACAAGTATGTTAAAGTCTTTCGTTTCTTATAAATGCTCCTCTCCCTGGTTCATAGCTGGCGCCTTCTCGCTGTGTCCTCACATGGAAAAAGAAGCGAGGGAGCCCTCTGTAGCCTCCCTTGAAAGGGCACTAATCCCATTCATGAGGACCCCTCCTCACAATCTGAGCACCTCCCAAAGGCCCTGCATTCCAATATTGTCACACTGGGGGTAAGATTTCAGCATATGAATTTTGAGGAGACACATGCAGACCGTAGCACTTGTAGAAAACCGTAAGATGTCCACACACACATTAGGGGAAAAACTACTGGAGCTAATAGATGAGTTCATCCAGGTTGCAGGATACCAGATCTTACAAGATTCAGTTGTATTTCTGTGCGCTAGCAATTAAAATCCAAAAGTGAAATTAAGAAAAGCAGCTCCATTTACAGTAACATCAAGAAGAATAGCATAGGGGTAAATATAACAACAGAGGTGCAGGACTTTGTGCACCGAAATCCCGAAAGCATCACTGAAAGGAGTTAAAGAACTTAAGTAAACAGATACCCCATGTTCGTGGATTAGAAGACTTGATATTGTTAAGATGACTACACTCCCCAAATTGATCTCTAGGTTCATTATAATCCTGAGCAGACTCCTAGCTCCCCTTTCTGCAGAAACTGATAACTGATCTTAGAAACCATGTGGTCCTGGCATGAGGACAGTTGTATAGAGCAGGGGAGTAGAACTGAGCGCAGAAGCCGACTCACACATTTGCAGTTAGCTGACTTAAAACAAGGTCCAGGACCACCCTGGGGAAAGAATCGCCTTTCAGCAAGTGGTGCCGGGACAGCTGGATGTCCACGTGCAAAAGAATGGAGTTGGGCCCTTACCTCACATCACATATAAAAAATAATTCCAAATGGATCAAACACTTCAATGTAAGAGCTAAAACTATAAAACTCATAGAGGAAATCTCTGAGGTGTAAATGTTAGGTATACAACTTTTCAGTGTAGGTCTTCATGACCTTGGTTTAGACAGTGGTTTCTTAGGATGTCAAAAGGAGGACAGTAACCTAAATAAATAAACTGGACTTAGTCAAAATTGAACACTTTGTGCTTCAAAGAGTGCTATAAAGAAAGTGAACAGCCCTGGCCGGTTTGGCTCAGTGGTTAGAGTGTCAGCCTGCAGACTGAAGGGTCCTGGTTCGATTCCAGCCAAGGACAGGCACCTCAGTTACAGGCTCGATCCCATATGGGAGGCAACCAATCGATGTGTGTCTCTCACATTGATGTTTCTCTCCCCCTCCCTCCCTCTCCCTTCCACTCTCTGAAAAGCAATGGGAAAAAATCCTTGGGTAAAGATTAAAAAAAAGCAAAAAACAAAGTAAACAGAAACGTCTAAGATGAGAGAAATGTCTGCTAAAGGTCTGCTATCCAGAACATAGAAAGAACGCTTCAAATTCCACAGTACAGACAACACAAAGAAAACAGTAAAGTCTATATTTTTTAACACAGAAAAATAAACATCTTTCTGCAAAACTCACCCACCTCTCCTTCCCCACGAGTGGACTTCCCTGTCAGAGTTCTCGATGTCCAGAACTTTATAAAGCAAGGCACTGAGTCCTTTGGTAAATTTGCCTTGGCAGCTGCCTATTCTGAAAGTCATTCCTGCTCCTTAATTTAAGAAGCTTCTATTTTACTTCATGGTTAGCGTCAGGCAGGTAGTGCCGTACCTTGGCTTCCATTATTGAGCTTAGCTCTCTGTTCATGGAGGATTATAAGCATTGCTTTTCCTTTCTGTGGCAATTAATATGAAAATTTTGTAAATTACTGAGAAAAGGATCTCTATTTGAAGTTATTCATTAAAGTCTTCATGGAATTAAGCTATTTAGCTACAGAAAATTGAGACCTTGGGAAAGGAAATAAGACTGGGAAATACGGAGAAGTATTTCGTAAAAATATGCGTGTTTGAGACAGTTTTGGAATTTAATCGCTTCGTCTTCTGTGAAAATGTTGCCTTGTTTTCTGTTGTCTCCTAAGCCTGGAACAATGTGTGTTTGTTGAGTAAACAAGTGCGCAGACTTATTTTCTGAAGTGGTGGAATGAATGGACCGTCTCATCTTTACCAGGGCCTTGCCGTGCAGAAGGGGGCTGACTGGTCTGGGGAGCCAAGGGCGCGGATTCGTCGGCTTTCCCAGTGTTGGCTGCGGGTGTACTGGATGCGCCATGGCTTCCGCAACCTCGCCTGCCCAGGTGGTTGGAGACCAAGTGGTGTAGGGCGCACAAGAAAGGCCTCACTTGTTTTAGGTCATTTAAATGACAGCTATCAACCGTTATCAATTATAACAATAATGCTTTTTTGGGAAAATGTGAGTTTTCTCATTGTATATTTCTATGACTAGTTCAACTTCTTTCCTGAAATAGCTGCTATGACTTATAGAAAACACAGTTTTACTCTGGTAACTTGGCTTAGCACAGTGGGAAATCAGCCCAGAATGCATGTCTCATTTCTGGTGAGAAATCAGATGTACAGTTGAGCACGAGCTGGACAGTAGTTCTGTTCTGTGTTCCCTTTTTCCCTGGAGGAGGGAACTGGCACCAAGGAGCATGTTAGTGAGGACGTGGAGTGATGCAGCCTAGTTGGAGGCAGTTTTGTAATAAATATCAACATTTAAAACTTGGTATCCTTTGAGCTAGTAGTTACACTTCTAGGAATCAGTCCTGCAAAACACAGCTGTAGGAAGATGTTGATGGCAGTCATTTTTGCAGAAGAGAGAACTGGCAGCTGGAATGTTTCATAGGGGCAGATAAACTCTGCGAAACCAGGCAGCCGTTAAAGAGAGCATGGTCGCTCTGAGCGTAAGCAGGTACAGAACTGCAGGCCATCCCCGCCTCAGGCTTTCCGACCCCACAGTGCATGTGGTGGACTGCACTCAGCCCTTTGATCTCTTCTGGCTCGTGACGTGCAGGACAATGCACTCACGGCGCCACGCGATCACAAGGACCGGCAGCCCACACTCTGCTGTGTGCTGTGTTGTCAACATTTCCTGGATGTTGTGTTTTGTGTTTTCACATCCCTTCATGTCTACAAACCCCCCTGTGTCTCCTGCTCTAGTGAGGAGAGGCGGAAGGCAGTGAATGCCTCTCGAGATGAAACCCAAGATGATTGCCCAGGTGTGGGCTAATGTAAGTGTTCCAAGCATGTTAGGGTCGGCCTGGCTAAGCTGCGAGATTTGGTGGGTTAGGAGTATTAAATGCATTTTTTTGTTTTGTTTTTTTGTTAATCCTTCCCAGAGGATATTTTTTCCTTTGATATTTTAGAGTGGAAGGGAGGAGAAGAGACAGAGAGAAATGCCAACGTGAGGGAGACATGTCGAATGGTTGCCACCCACATGAGTCCCAACCAGAGCTTGGGATCCAGCCTGCAACCAAGGTACATGCCCTTGACCGGAATCAAACCTGGGACCCTTCCGTCCACAGGCCGACACTCTAACCACTGAGCCAAACCGGCCAGGGCACATGCATTTTTGACTTGTGATATTTTGAATTCAGAATGGGCTGGTTGGGACATAATTCTATCACAAGTTGAAGAACATCTGTACATGGTTGTTACTCCATTTGTATGAGGAAAGAGTACGTGTATTTCTGAGGGCTTGTGTGTGTGTTTACATTTTTAATTGTGGTAAAAAGCATATAACACAACATGTGTCGTTGAGTACATTCACATTGTTGTACAGACATCACCACCATCATCTCCTGAACTTTTTTCATTTTGTAAAACTCAAACTCTGTCCCCATTAAACAGCAGCCCCTCATTGCCCCTCGTTACTCATCCCCCAGCCTGTGGTACCCACTGTTCTTCTCGTCTCTTATGAATTTGACTGCTGTAGGGCGCCACATAAGTGGGATTATATAGAACTTGTCCTTTCGTGACTGGCATAGTTCAGCATAGTTCACTGAGCATGTTGTCCTCAAGGTCCATCCCTGTTGTGGCAGGTGCCAGAATTCCCTTCCGTTTTAAGGCTGAGTAACATTCTGTCGAATGGATGGGCCACGTTTTGCTTATCCGTCTATCTGCCGATGGGCACTTGGGTTGCGCCCACCTTTGGCTGTTGTGGACGGTGCTGTGTTCATGGGCACAACACCTCTGGAGACCCTGTTTTCATGCTGTTTTGATATCCTGGGGAAAGGTACTGCTTTGAACCCAGGGAAAGGAGACTGGGGCGGAGTGAGGGTGGTACTTTGACTTGCTGTCTCATGACTTTGTGCTTTCATTTTTTAAAATAAGCGTTAGGTTTTGCTCACAGTTGGTAAGTTGTGAAATCACTAATTGTCATATCTTTTGTTTGTGCTGTAAAGAGCTCGGCACCCCCTTTACCACAGATGCCTCACCATATGGTGAGAAGGTGCAGGTTGCAACTGAAGGAAAGCCCCTCCAAAGACGTCTTCAAGGAATGCACCAGGTAAGGGGGTGGCGCCCACCCTGCCCCTCAGCTGTGGCTCGCCCTGAGGCGGGGCCTGCAGGAGATTCTCTGCATGAAACAAGTTCTTATCAGAGTTCTTTCCAAATTAAAACATGGGCAGATGGAGAGTGATCCTGACACAGACATAGGTGACACACTGAGGCAGGTCACATCGAGAGCCAGGATACTCATGCTCTGCTGGCTCCTGGCCCCTCTCTGCTCAGCCTTCCAAAATGAAAAGATTCCCATGAACTTTTTTTTTTCCAGTTGATTTTAGGGTGGGGGGTGGAGATTGATGTGAGAGAGAAACATTGATCAGTTGCGTCCTCCATGCTCCCTGACTGGGAATTGAACCCGTGACCTTTGAGTGTACAGGATGATACTCCAACCGACTGAGCCGCACTGGCCAGGGCCCTTAAAATGTTTTTTTAGTCTTAGGCACTCAGCAGGGTCATGTTCTCTCAGAACTCTAGGAGAGTGTCCTTCCCACCTCGTGCAGCTTGTGGTGCTGGCTGGCAGTCCTCGTGTTCCTGGCTTGCAGCTGCAGCGTCTCAGTCTCTGCATCTGCGCCGCATGGCTGTCTTCTCTGTGTGCCTCTGTGTTCTCCTCCTACAGGGAAGCAGTGCTATTGGAGTAGGGCCCATATGACCTCATCTTAACTAATTACATTTGCATCGACCCTCTTTTAGTGAAGGACACATACCTGGGTTGCAGCCTCGATCCCCAGCCCTGGTTGGGGTGTGTGCAGGAGGCAACCTAATCGATGTGTCTCTCTCACACCAATGTCTCTCTTCCCCCCCCC